GCCGGAGTTAAACCACGACATTGTTTTAAATATGAAACCTATCTCACATAAGCTGCAGCAAGTTTATATTTGGAACAATCAGAGTATGTCAGTGTATATGTAGTTTGAGGTGAAACTATTTAAAGTTTAACATGATGAAATGACACTAAGAATATATATTTCTAAAGGTAAGTTTTTTAGGGCAGTATTTGAAAACCCCGTTGGTACCCTTTGCTTTATTTGGCAGATAATAAAATAAAATTATGTTTGAAAATTTGGGGGAATGTTCATATTTAAAAATATAATAGTATAGTTACCCTGTAATTTTATTGCTTATGTTGCTGAAAACCCCTAAGTGTTTGTATTTGGAGGGTTTACATCTAATAAAATAGAGCTTTCGTGCTTCCAAATGTATTTTGACAGACTGAAATACATTCAAGGGATATGTGACCAGTGAGGTATTTGAAAAAAAACAGGTAAACACTAAACTGTAAGAATAAAGCCTGACTCTTTGCCTTCTGTTTTGCTTGTATATATGACCTCTTAGTGTATGAAAATGGGTAAGTTGATGATGGAAAATAGCAGTATATAAAAAGAGGTAATTGTTCCTATCTGTCAGTCATATTCCCAAGAAAAGGCTACTTCATTCTGGAGTGGCCAGCTCCACTGGCGGTGGGATTTTGAATGTAAGTCAAAGTAGCTAATAATGAAAACAAGCAGGGAAACAGGTCAAAGTCAGAAAATTTAAGATAATTACGGTCTAGAACTGACAACATAAGAGTAAAGAAGTGTAAAGAAACAGATTTCTTGTAGCTGAGAAGTGGGGGATTTCATACGTGTCACTGAAATGCATTTATCTGTGGCATCTTAGAGCGTAAAGGACAAGCAAATTCAAGTAAAAATAGTGAAGCAATATCAGAACTTTATTGCAGCTTGAAAACATACAATTACCAAGCTTAGAATGCTGTATGCTAAGAAAATGTTGTTTTTCTTCAGAAATGCCTCCCTTTGAGAGAAAGAATTTCTCAGTCTCGAAGTGAGTGACATCTACTTGGCCATAACATAGAAGGTCAAGATGTTCAAAATGCCACGGGGGTATGGGTAGGAGTGTAGGTGGCATGGCATTCTAAACGAAGGAAAATACAGACGGAACGGGAACGGAGCCTTGCGTTCCGTAAGGTCTGACTGGGACAGTATGCCTGGTCTTCGAAATTCCAGTGTGGTGAACACTCATTTAAGAAGCAATAATGTTCCATGAATAACGCTCCGTGGGCTTTTTTGTCTTTACTTACTGGAAAACAAACAGGAATCCAGTTTTATCACTGTACCATTTTCAACTATTCTAAGAATTTCTTAAGGTAGAAGCTCACAAGTTTTTCCTGCAAGGGGGAAAATATTATGCAAATGCCCTAGGTTCTTAGCACTACGTGGTGATTAATGTTCTACTTGACAACTGTCACTTGGTGGCACCACCAGCAGTTTGAGTCTGATGCATCCATTTCTTCTCATTCGCACTCTTTCTTTTCCACTTGGGTGAGGCCGCCGAAACCAATTCCTTTGGGACCAAAGTTTTTGGCGTAGCACACTGCAAAAGGAAGAGGGGAGGTAAATGGTGGTCTGAATGTTTTTGTGTAGAGGTAAGTGACTTTTGGGTTTAGTACTACTTCCAAACTTAGGTTAATAAAATGAAGGCAGTCTGAAATAGCATCTTTCTCAGAAGTGTCAACAGGTTCTAATAGTGAAACTGGAACCATGTCGTTGAATTAAACAGAGGTCACATCTGGTCTTTAAAAAAAAAAAACAACCAAACCCCAAAAATTAAGAAACTGTGTATTTAAGATCTACGTAACGTTTTCATTAAAGCTACTTCCCTGGCTGAAAATACTCAGTAAAACTTGGTCTGTATGAGTAACAGTCGGAGATTTTCAAAGGAGGGTGAAGGAACTAGAGCATAGTCACGAAAGTGTTGATGGTCGTGTAAAGCATTCCACTCTAAGTCTGCGTGGCGAAGTGTGCCCGTAGTTACATAACTACAAATAGCACAACTCTGCTGAGGAAGTCGTAATGGTCAGCGTATTTCTCCAGATACGCTGACTTGGTCTCTTGGAGTTGTGAGGCTGTACCCAGTCACAGAACTCAAGTCTTATTCTTTGGGTTTTTCTGTAAAGTTCAGCCTCGGATATAAAAACTTTGCCTATTTTTCCCTTTAAGCTATTTCTAAGAGTCAAGTGAAGGCTGTGAATCTATCGCAGAAGAACATCTGGGTGCATAATTAGCATGAATGCCTTCTCTTCTGTACTACCAATCTAGTGAAGTACCTGAACGCTTACGGGGAAGAAGTCCAGTTAGGACCATGGCCTTAAAGAGGTGAGCTTTGCTTTGGGGTTTTTTGGGTGAGATCATGCAGGTACAAGAGTCTGCCCAGCAGACACGGCCAGCCTTCCTGTTAGAAGGTCTGAGGAGAGATCTGAGAGGATGTCACACTGATAGAAAAATTACAGCTTTGAATTTGAACTGTTAATAGCAGAAGGCACAACTGCAGTGTTACCACAGCTCTTTGCTTTGCTTTCAGAAAGTTGTTAAAAAAGATAAGATGGAATTTCATGAAGTCATTAAGCATTCAACAGAGTAAATCACGATGGCATCAATAGGTCTAAAAAGAGTAATTTTAGACAGATTTAGTAACCCAGCTCAGCTCGTTCCAATTCTTACCTTTACAGTAGAGCTCTCCATCCTTGTCTGTAACATTCGTAGATTCTAAGCTCTTCCCACAGATAGCGCAGCGGAAGCATGTCTTGTGCCAAGGCTGAGGAAATTAGGACAATTCATTGTTCATTACACAAAGTGCACAGCCAGCAGGTACAAGAAACAACCTTTGTTTTTTTGTGGTGTGAAAAGGTTAAAGCTGTCTTACGGCTTCCACTTTTAGTCCTTCTAGATTAGTCTTTTTTTCCGTTACTTATCTAACAGCTTACCTAGTGACTTCCTTATTAGTGGAAGTCTGGTACAAAGCAGAGCGCTGCCGTTACTACTCTTGGTTTGGCCATTCCTTTGATGTGCAAGATACTATTCCAGTGAAAGTTCCTGGAGCAGAGAGCTAGCATACATCATGTGAGGCAGGCTCTTGTTTTTCTGGTCGCATAATCTCTTCAATTTATCTGTAATTACCGCTACAAATAAATGCTTAAATTATGAATGTCCCCAGAGGTGTCAGCAGGGTGACAGTGGTAGATGAGCCAGCCTGTACTGTACCTGGTTGTTGTTCAGACACCAACAAGATGCAGAACGTTGAAGGTGGCTGGTGAAAAGCATATGGGTTTAGACCAGAAAGTGCATCGGAGACCCTAGCAATTTGCGAATTCATCAAGACTATGGGTAAAAATTCAAATGACCAAGGCTGTGTTAGTGGTAGTTTACCACCATTGTAAGAGTGTCTTTTGTTTTTAGTGCTGTTCTAACTACTTACTTTTCCTCCGCCCATGATTTTCTCTGCAGCGTACACTGATTTGCCGCAACGGGGACATTTATCGATGTCTACCATCTTTTTGGCGAACTTTGAAGGGTTCGTTGGTGTAGAAGGACGAGCAGGCTTTGGCGACCCCCTAGAAGACAAGATCTCAGTTTTTTAAAATACTGCTTAAAAATGTTACCTTCATTCTAGAAATGCAGTTGTGGTTTTTTTGGTAAGGCATAGAAAATACTGAATTACTGGTCTTAGGCATGCAAAATGGGGGGAGGAAGAGAAAACGAAAGTGTTCTCTTAAGTTCTGCATTGTGTGGTTGAAAAGCTGACACTGTAACCGGTGATGTTGCCTGTTTTGGGCTCAGAATGTGGAGCTGGCGGTAGCCACATGCAGAAAAGATTAATGGAAAATTGAAAGTAAAAAAGAATTTTGTCTTATTAAGAGAGAAACCACAAGCAAAAGGCCTCTCTGTTCTTTGTAACTGGCTGTCTGCTGGTGCTCGGTACTGAGCTGGGGGGAAACAAGGTGCGTGCAGTTGTTGCATTAGCTGCTGTAACATTTGGGCAAGGAGCTAAGGTTCTTAGTAAAGGTTGAAAGCACAGCAGTAAAGTAGCTTTTTATTTGTATTTCTGGACTTTCTGGTTTATGTCGTTGTGGTAGCATAAAGCCTGTCACAGAATGACTTTTGAATTATTGGATTGTTGGACTGCAACAGGTTGTTAAATCTACAGGACATGACGGTTCCTGATACAGAACTCTGCTCGTAATGGATTCATATCTTACCAGGAGCTACGGTTAAATACATTATTTAACCTTTTATTTCCTGCAGAGCATATTGGTTAATTGGTTTCCGTATAGTAATACCAGAAGAAAACACCGCTGCTTTGGCAACGTGCAGCTTTGAGGATTGTAGAACAATACGATAAAAATGTACTCTCAGAGATAATTACGTGCAGCTGAGGCTTTGGGAAGATGCTGTCCCATTAGAATTCCTTGGTTCAGACATATTCTGTGTGTTTGTGAGTGTTATTCGAGCCACAGGAAGGATTTAGAAACATCATTTTCTCTCACTGAGAGAAGAGTTAACAGTATGTGGTGGAGTCATTCGTTCTCTAACCTAACTGTATTTCAGCCTCTGATTGGGGTGGGGGTGGATGGAGGAGCAGGAATTCTCCTGTTTTGCAGTGAAATGTGACTTTATCACTGTTCTACTAAGAGCAAATGACAATTGCAAAGAATATTTATGTCTGGGGTGGCATAGAAAGTCTGCTTCTGCAGAACAATTGCCCATTGAAGGAGGAGATAATTTGTAAAGAAGGCATAAAGGAACTGGACGCCATTAGAAACTGCTAAATTACTGTGTCCGCTGAAGGAAAGGTGGTAGGAAAGTCTGCTCTCCTGCTGATGCCAGATGTTGTTATGGAAACAGAACAAAATATCTAAAATACCCGGCTAAGTGACAAGTAGTACCCGAAAACCAAAGGGGGCTGTCAGTAGGATTTAACTCACTGTTGCAGATTCAAGCCCAGATGGTCGCCGGTGTCAGTGCTGAGACATCCTGCCCCTTGTCCGAAGCCAATCCCTTTGGGACCGTATTTTCTCCCGTAACAAGTTTTGCAGTAGATTTCAGATTCGTGAGCTGCTACTGTGGTGCTGTCCAGAGCTTTCCTGCAAGCCACTGAAACCAGGAAAAGATGCACACGATCAGCATCTGCATTTTCAGATGTGAACTCGTGGTTCAGAATAGTTACTGTCAGTGTTTAGGGGTTTTTTATCTTTGAAAGTGTGGCAGAGGAGGGTGTTAGCCCATAGTCGGTATAAACATCACAGGGCTGTTGGTGTGCGCGTGCACACAGCGTGCTTCCTTTGCCGCTCTGAAGTTAGACTCTGACCCTAGGAAAGGCAGGGGCTGGTCAAGACCATTTCTGTAGGTCTGTGAAGCTTAAGATGGATTGAAGATCATCATCCCAAGCTCCCAAATCTTTAAAATAAAAACCCAGCATGTTTCTGAGAGCGGATGTGCTGCACACAGCATGTCCAGGCGGAGGCCGGCAGGACACGGGGTTGATTTTAGTCACATTTGTTTGAGCTGTAGTGCAAGGCGAAGCCATGATCCCCAAAAACTGATAGTGTCAGCTCTCTTAAGACTTGCTCCAGGATGGCAAGAGTATGACTACAGCTGTTCTAAAACCAGACACCTCTTCGTGGTCGTTGTCAAAAAGTACCACTCAGCTTAGCTCACCAGGAAAGGTCTGGGGGATTTTTGGGTAGAAGGGGCCATAGAAACGCTTGGCTGGCGTAATGGACCCCAAGCTACATCCTCTACAGCACTGCTTCAACCCTCACCTCAGCTTGGAAGGACCAAAAGCCGAGGAGTGCTGACAGCTGCATATTTGGGGATCTCGGTCGGCAAGCATCCACGTTTTGAGAAACACAAGCCACGGCTAGAACGAACGAGCCATGCTGAGGCCGGTCTGCCACACGGTTATTCTCATCAAGTGGACATGGAATTTGGATTACTGAAACCTGGTCAGGTTTAGAGGCTAAATTCTGTCACCAGTCCAGTGGATCTCCTTGCTGTTAATCAAAGGAATCTGGGCAATAACGAATGGGGAAAACGGTAGCTGCACTCCTCATCAGCTGGGAGACGGCGTATGCTGCGCTCACTGTTTGGGAACTCGGCGTGAGGCAGCCCCCACCCCATCAGGAGAGGGTGAAGCTTTCAGTTCAGAGTGCCCATAGAAACCAATCAGGGGCTTGTGGTATGCCAAAAAACTACAATTTCAACACTTCTTTTTGCTCGCTGTGTCTGCAGTGGCTGATGAGGAGGGAACTTTCTCTACAACTTGCCTTGAACAAGCGCATGCTCAGTCGGCGTGCCCGTGACTGCGTGTTCCAGTCATGCACGGGCAGCTGGTAGCTTGGAAAATCGAGTTGCTTAGCCCACTTAAGCAACCAAAACTAGGAGAAACCTGTGAAATAGGCAAGTGTTGAAGGTGGTTGGAGGATCAAGCTCTAGAAGAGCCAGTGAGAGTTTGATATGTCCCTCTTCCCTCCGTGTTCATTGTAACTGTCCTGCTGTGAGTCTAAAATTCATCCTTCAGGAGAGAATTTAGGCTGATGCTGGAACCTCTGCAGCTTTCACCCTGTCACTGCACTGTGCAGAGGAGAAATAATTTACAAAGACCTTTAATAGCAGCGCATGAACCTGATCTCATGGTGCTGCAGCCTCTTCTGCTTTGAGATGCTAATTGTGTTTGCTAAGGGGGTTAAGGGATGATGGAAACTCTAGCAGTAGATAAAGCGTTTCTATTTCTGGCACCTCAGGGATGGAGTATCAATTCACCACAACAGATGGAGCAAAGCCCTTGAAGTGCTATTGTTGAAATAACTTTGAGACCTGTCATCTGCCAACAGATACTGTTCGCCAGCCGGCACGAAGAAGTTTCAGGCTGATGGTGTGAGATCCTGCCGAATGTCCGTCACAGCTGCGGTTTGAGTAAGAGCTGCCGGAGGAGCAGGGTGGGTAAACGGGGACAGAGGGTCTGGTGGAAGGAGGTTTCCTTCTCGTCATGTTTGTAGAAAAGGAGGGTGATCTAGAGTTTAGCTCATTGGAGTCTTACTGTGTTAACAGGTTGGTTTGAATTGCTTATAATTTTGCCCCAACTGAACTTTTTGGTTGAAAAATACTGGTGTGTTTTTGTGTGTCTCATCAAATGTAACATGAAGTATGTTTTAAATATATTTAACATAGAAAAGCTTAGCTAAATAGGTTAACTGCTTCCATGCCTGAGATTAGGTTGTGCAGGGCTGCTTTTCTTCTGCTGAGCAACGAAATCCTGTAATTGGTTCATTGAAAAGCCCATGAACATGATATGTGATACTGAGTCATCCAGAGCTGCTGATTAGTGTGTGTTAATTGGCTTTACTTTTCCCATGATTCACACACCTCTCCTATGCCCGCTGGGCTTAGATGCATCTTTAGGTTTTGGCCTTAAACATACTTTCGCTGGGAATACTTTTTTTAATATCTAACCTATTAATAGTTTAGCTCAGCCTTACAACTACAAGGAGCAAATAAAATATTAAAAAAACCCTCCCCAAAACCCCTAACTGATTAAAACTCAACAAAAAGAAAAAACCACAGCAAACCAAGCCGTTAGTAGCGCCAGTGGATGCATGTTGTTTATCCTGAATCACTAAAACAGCGCAGTTATGCTAAGAAGGAAGCTTAACCTTGGTACAGTCTTAGGCGGGAGAGAAATGTTATTAACTATGCCCTATTAGGACAGCTGTTCATTTTTGTTAGACACTGGAGAGTCTACTCATTTGCCTTCTGCTGCTGTATCATTTTTCTAGCATTTGATAAAGCACAAGTGTCAGTTAAAGCTTTTCTCATAATTACCATGTCTGTGTCCCTCTCCCCATAGTTTCTCTGAACCCTGGTGTTAATTGTTATGGGCAGCACACGGCAGCAATGAAAAGTCTCCAGCTTTCACAAAACTGAGGTTTTTATCATTCTCTAAGAACTGATGGAAGGTTGTCAATTAACTGAAATCTGTTTTAGGGAATTCTTTCTTAGTCAGTTTGCCAGGCATCACTTGGAGGGCCCCCACAGAAAGGCAAAGATGACTCAAGTGTGTCCTTAGGGCTGATGCTGTCTAGCGCTGTACCATGTCGTCTAAGCATGTAACACCGGTCTCATGCCTCCAAACTAGAATTCTCTACCCATCCGGGAAAGAAGGGTGAAAAACTGGATTCAGGGACTTCTAAGCTGTCATGCTGGAATTTGTACGGCAAAGCTACTAAATCTCAAGCATTGTTGGCAAAATCAACTGTTCAGCCATCTTCAGTTATCAACTTGTTTACTCTTTCGACAAAGAGCAAACAAGCTGAACGGCTGTCTCCTCTCTAACTTTGCAAGTGCTGGCTCATCTGCGGAGAAAGCAGATTTCCAGGAAGCTCTCTGCCAGGCACTAGCGGTGCGTGGTGTAAGTGAAATGGGAGTGCATGAAATGTGGGGAGGGAGGAGACGGAGGTGCTTCTAAGTTGTTGGTGGGAGATTTTGATGACACTGGGGTTATGTCTTTCAGCTTTCCTACGTGAAGTGAGTTAATGTTAGGATTCACCGTAAGAGGAATCATCTCCTGTAATACCCTAGTAAGACATGCTTTTGTCTTACAAGGGCTGTTGGGTTAGTTCCTCCAGACTTCTAAACTTGAAACAAAGCCGTGGTGTGCTACGCTGTGGGACAGAAGGTAGGGTTTCTTGGAGATGGACCTAAGACACTGTGATTCTGCAGCACTCTGGTGTCCCTAACAATAATCATCCAGTGCATGTTTGGAAGAAGAAGAGCCAGGAGCCTGAGAGGCAGGTTGTTTGGGGTAAAGGGCTAGACAACTGGCACTGGTTATCAAGAGCTGCTATGGAGTGTCAAACTGGCATTTCAGAAAACTGGCTGCTGCTTTGAAAACAGATACAGTCATTTTCCCAACTTCCATTACTAAAAGGATGGGAAACAGGTCTCATCTTCAGGTTTCTAGAGAGTGCTGGACCAGTGTCACTGTGCTGTGCTTTAGGTGGGGTCGTTAACATGCGTCTGCTCCCTACTTCGACCTTTCCCACAAGTAAGACGCATAAGCATTACCAAATCTGGGGGAAATTCAGTCTGATGCTGGTCGCTTCCACTCTCCCGTGGGCTGCTCAGGGTGCTTAAGAGCCTGCTGTAGGCACCCCGTCAGCAAACGGGTTGAGTTGGGAAAACTGAAGCTTCGTTATTGCCTGCAGAGTAATACCAAACTGAATTTACTAGCATTGATGAAAGATGATTGGCACAGAGCTGTGGGAGTACTGTGAGGGTAAAGCAGTGTAGCCCAGCTTACTGCAGAGGAAGCATGTCTTGTGAAAACTCCTTCCGTTGCACTGGACTTCCTCAGCGTGGTACACTGTCTTTTCACAGGCACCACATTTGGCTCCACCTCCCCAGTTCGGCATCCTTATATCTGAGGCGTGACCTAGAAAACCGCATGACATAAATAAATACAACTGCAAAATGGAATTATTTTATATGCAACAGCTTGATTTTTTTTTTTTTAATTACTATTTTTTCCCCCTCCCCAGTCAACTGCTGTAGCATACCTACCATGTCCTACATACCTGGGCAGTGGCAGGAATGTACCCTATCCGTGGGTGAGGGTGCTTCGGGACAGGGGCAGTTTATATCCTCTGTCCTCACTTTTGTAAATAAGGATATTCCTTAGCTCAGGATACGTGTGAAATGACTGTGAGGTGTTTCAGCAAAAAGATGCCAGGATAACTCAAACCCCTTCTGGAGAAGTGGTTCTAGGGTTTATTGACAATGACAAATAGTCATTTTCCTTCAATCCTGCCCTTCCCTGTATCTCGGCGTAGCCTTTTCCCCTCAGTTTTTTGCTTTATGTGTGTTGGTCTGGTTTTGCAAGGCAAGTTTTCATGAGCCTACAAACACTTTGAAGCTTTACTGGAGTTTCAGCAAAAGTGTGGGTGGTATTTGGCATTAAATTTGGTACAGCACTGTATTCTACCTAGACTCTGTGAAGAGCCAGCATGTAGTACTATTTATACCTCTCCAAACCAAGTGCTAGTTCATCCAGTGCCGCGTGCGCTTCCTCGGTGACCTGTGTAAGGGTTTCTGTGTCAGTATGATACCACTTTATACAGTTCATACCTGGATAATTCCACCTTGATGTTTAACAAATGCACAATGTTATTTTAGAGGATGCTTTAATAGAAACACGTTGTTGCTTTGCTGAATTCCTCAGAAGACAGCTGCAAGATCACTGTGCTGCACAGCCGTTATGGAGTAACAACAGACAGGTCCCTGAGGTGCTTAAGATGTATTTTTCTTTGTCATTTTGTTTTTCACATCTAAACATCGGAGGGGAAGAAAGGTGAGTAGCGCTTACTGTTCCAGTTCTTGCTATTCCAGTTGCTGTTGAAGTGACTTGCCCAAGGTCACGCAGGAGGGCGGTGTCGGAGCCAGGAGCCCAGCTCGGCTCGCCTGACGGCAGGCTCAGTAAGTGCCCTTCTCAGCGACTGCGCTGTCATGCATCTGAATCAACCCCAACCTATGGTTTGCCCTTCTCTTTTCTCCTTTGAGTCATCATTTCTGGAAAGACTGGAACGTCATCTTGTCATACGCACGTCGTATTATCGGGTTGTTCCGAGCTCCTGGCGCAAGCCTTCCTTCTGCTTCTTGGAAAGCCAGTCACCTTCTTATTATAGTTCTTTCAAAGCCTGCTATCTGTGCTTGATTAAATTCACCGTGAGATATTCTTAACTAAGAAGAGGATTTTGAATGCTGAATCAGACCTGTGACCTCAGAATTTTCTTCTGAGGTCAAGTGAGAGAGAGGGGAATTTATCACAGCAGTGATGTAACTTAGTGGGTATTTTCAGTGGCTTGCATTTTAGACTAACATTTTACTATGTCTGTACCCTGGACACTAACGCCCCGTGTTCATTGTCATCTCAGTGACTTCTGTACTGCGTCTTCAGAATGAAGTGAGCCGTTCCCATGTGCCAGCTCTGCAGGCTGGAACCGAAGGGAATTCTTTCTGGCTACTCACACTAAAAATCACGCGGTTGTATAAAAGACACGTCTGTCCAGCAGTAGGAAGATAGCAGAGGAGTGTGTGCACATGCTGAAGCAGCAGCACTGAAGACATGGAAACGTGGGCACGTTTGAACAATCAGTGTTTGGTAACAGTGCTGGTACCAGCATATCCAAACATCTCTGCTCTAGTACTGCAGTTATTAGTGCATCCTTAACCCTGTGTAAGTACATATTCACTGCTGTGACTGTTACTGCAACAGGCAGCAAACCTGTCATCCTCATGCAAGATCCAACCTCTCCGTCTCTTCGTGAGGCTGATTTCTGCTCGCTGAACAGCCTCCCCAGCTCAGTCAGCCTCGTCCGCCGCCGTCATACAGCGACGGCGTCATCTCCTCGCGGCCCTATCACTTCTCCTGGCAGGCTGTTCAGGAGCCAAACTGCTCTGACAGTGAGAAAACTCATGATGCAAAAAGGAAAAGCTCGGCTTGCCTCTAACAATGTTCATCTGTAACGTAACGAGCAAAAATTAGAGGTAGCTGAAATAAACAAAAGGGACTGCACACAAGGAATAGGCTGTGCATTTGGTCAGTACTTACTCGGTAAAGGCTTTACTGAATAGCACCGCTATGGTCTCTTTTCTCTTTCTTTAAATGGGAGATAAGGAACAGAGAGAGGTCTTTCATGCAGGTAAAATCTTTTTGTCTCATACTGCCATTCTGTATTTTCTCCTATTTTTAAAGTACCTTTGTCTTGGTGCAATTTATTTTCTCTTAGGAAAAATATTTCAAGCAATGTTTCAAACATCTTAAGAGAAGGAAGAGCGATGGGAGATAAAAATCAGTTTGTGACACTTCCTTAAAAACTAAAATGAGATTTTTGTGTTCACAACGTTCCCTTTCTAATCAAGTTGCCAGCTGAATCCTTTCCCAGCTGGAGCAGCAGCGCTCACTGCCTGGGAGGAGAGCGGTTGGTACCTCCAGCCTCTGTAAAACTGCTTCTGCTCTTTTAGTTCCCCTCAAAGGCACACCAAGTGTCTCCGTCTGTGGCAACGGGACACTGGTTGGAAAGTAGCTAATTACATCATTAGCTGAAGGGAAAAAGCGATCTGTGATAATGTCTGATAGTGAACCTTGGGCTGTTACGGGCTGTGGTTAGAGCTCTTAAAAGAACCGTCGCTCCTGAGGCTAATTATAGGAACGTGACTGGGCATGCACACACATTTTCCATGTTTTTTTGGCATCACCTGATGGGAAGCTGTAGGAGAAAGAAGTCACAGTAAAAACGTTCCCATGAGGATACCGGTGTAAGAAGGGCAGCATACGCCGTGGTGCCTGTGCCGGCTGACCTAACAGCCGGGTGAGGTACCAGGTCACGTCCGTGCTCCTTGTGTCCTTGCTCTGTTCCTCTCTCTGAACGCTGGACGGCAGCGACCGTCCCGGCAGCGGTATTGCCATGAGCAAGTAAATTCCGCGGGGTATATGGCATTCATGGTTTTCTGCTCATCTAAATTGTAACGGTGGGTAAAACTTCATCCTTACAGTGTGCAAATAGAACTCGGTCTCCTGTTGGTCCTAGAAAAAATGACACCCCAAGTCTCAATTTCCTTGGGTGTCGGTATCTAAATCCCCTTGAAATTCCCTGCACTTGGTTGTCTAAATGTGGTTAACTTCCAGTGCCTGCTAAGCACATGGTGCTTGCTATATTTTGGTGGTCTGGTGGGAAGTGGAGTGGGCCCACTCTAAATGCCTCAACCGCGTGACAGAGCAACTTCTGAGCGCTGACGTCGCGCCGCGCTGGCAGGCACTCACGGTACTGTTAAGCTGGAGGAGTGTTCTTGGACTTGCTCTGAGAGCGTTCAGCAGCTTGTAGCCTGCTTCAAAATGCAGCTACGATGCGGAGTGGGGTTCACACGCATTAGATGTGCAGCCAAGGATGCATGCTTCTCATGACTTAGGGCTTGTGTATCGGCTAGCCTCAGAGCAGGGGAGCCTATGAAGCATTTCTGTGCTCTGCACAGGCATGAAAAAATGCGAGCTGTTCTCTGTTGGGCTGTTAGTCACGCCGTACGAATCTGGGTGCCACCTAACTGTCACAGAGTGCGTCTCGCTCATCTGCGCGCTTCTGCTAAGAACATGATCCAAAAATATATTTAGATCCATTGATCTAAGTGGGAAGTGGATGCAGTGCTGCCCTGCTGAGCTTGTGTGCAGGGGAGTAAAAGGCAGCGTTAGTGCGGGTGATGTGGTGCAGGTGAAAAAGATGCCGACAATAACTGTGGTGTTGCCTCGCTAAACGAGGCTTCCCCTTCTCGGTGCTTACGCATGGGGTAGCGGAGAGCTTGGGGCACATCGGACCGGAGGGCGGAGGTGCCGTAGTGGGGGGCTGGGAGGATTGTCTCGGGGTGCTGCGTGCGTGCGGGGTGGCTTTGAAGGGGGTGAACGCGACGGGGAATGCCGGTCTCTGACGGCTGACGGAAACGCTGAGTGAGGAGCAACGGATGGGCTGTGCCTTGCGCCTCTCTCGGGTCTAGCCCCAGCTAGGTGTTCAGATTCAGTAAAAGGTATAAGAATACGATTCCTTACATACTCAGTGAACAGTGATAGTACCAAATCGCTGTCTGCATTGCAGCGCAAGCACCGAGCTACGCTGGAAATTCTTTTCCCAGCTGAAGTCTGTGGGAAATGTGGCCAGTGCAGCTGGGACTCCATCCCGGTATCTAATCGCGGCTCCACTGCTGACCTGTCCTGTGACCACCACGGGCTCATTCCACCGTCCTTAGCGTGACTCGCCCCACCAGCACCGCGGGGTAGCGATACGTGGCTTCCTTCATAAAAGTAGGGATGCCTCGCTGCCCTAGTTTTCCTCTGCAGCCAACGCTCACTGCTGTCTCTCTGTGTCCGCAGCGTAAAGCACAGCTCCTGCCTCTGCATCTCCGAGAGCCTGACGGTGTTTTTGTCGGAATCCAATCCGTTGCAGAAAGCGTGCTCTCTCGGAAGAGTAGATTGACAACGGAGAACGCGTTTGTATCGGAAGAGAGCTCATTTAACGAAAGATGCAATACTGTTACGTATGTATAATCATATTTTTTGTATTTTGATGTGGTCAGTGGATTATGGCTACAGGTAAATTTTCAGTTTATTAGTCTCATAGACTTAGCCTCCACCACGGTCTCATGATGACTAGCGTTTTCCCTTTCTATAGGCAGTAAACGTGTACCAAAGGAGGCGTATTTCCACACTGACACAGGAAGGTTAATATCATTTCTCACTGGCACTAAGTTACACCAGCCCTTCTGAAACAAAAGATTTTAAGTGACGTGGTATGAAGCTGAGAGAAAACCCCACGCTCCTGTGTCTGAGTCCTTTGCTTTCATCTCTCTGTCCTTCCAATCGACTGTTCTTCTCTAGCAGAGTAATGCCACATTTCTTTTAAGACTTTCTTGGTGCACACTGCTGCAGAAATTTAAGGCCACACCTCCAAAAAATAAGATGCCCCGACACTAGAACAAGATTGTGATTTGAACAACCCCCCACCGCCACGCATATACTCGCCCAGAGTTCACTTGGATTCGTGTGGCTGTGGGAAACTGTATCCTACTGTACAAATGCCCTGTTCCTTTTTCCAGACCTAATCCTGGGCTATCAACTTTCACTTTTCCTTCTACAAGATCCTTCTCTAAAGCCTTATCTGTGCACTAAGTCTTTTAAATGCCAAGCAAAACTGTTACAGGCTAGGAAACATTGCCATGATGGATCAGACACAGACACATTTTACCTATGTTCAAGGCTTGATTCTTTGGGATAATTTTACCTTCAGGTAGAAAACCTTTCAAAGTAAACAGCTTTTTTCTTAATTACCAGGGCCTTTCTGAAAGCTTGACCAACCGTGCTGTCTTCTAATGCTAGAGCGACGGAGGTGTGCATTCCTTCGTCCTGCGGCCTTATCTAGCTGTCAGCTCTACACAGAGGTTTTCTCCTGGTTTGATACAAACCCGATTGGTCACCGACAACAAATATTTTTGAGGATTTTGGCTTAGAATTTTTTTTTTACTTCTAGAATAATTTTATCTGGGAAATTATGAAAGCACATAAATTTATGTGCTTTATAAAGCATATGTACAAAACAAACTACTTATGAAAAACCTAATTCTGTAGCTCTGTAACAAAATCTTTAAAAGTTCCTGAAACTTCTCTGGTCCAGTCTTGCGTGTAGCCAAAGCGTGGATCTTGTTCACGAGGATCCCCGCCGCCCCCTTCTTCTAACACCAGTAGCTACTAAACAGGCTGAGAAGCCCAGAAGGATTGCTCTTATCCTTATGCCTCAAATACTGCCGTCAGCTCTGTAGGAGTCACGTTTCTGTGCTATACCCACGCCTTTCTCTTTGTCAAGTTATTAGGAAAAAGTAAAATAACCAAGCTCTTATGCCCGAGAGTCTTGGCAAAGCCCACGTAGCGTACTCACCGGAGTCGCTTGATGCTTCTCCCTGTTTCCGTAGGCCTCAAAGGGTTTGAAGGTGAGGGATTCCGGCACTCTTTAAAGGCAGTGGCCACCGCTGCTGGCCCTATAGGCTGGGAGGGGAGGGGAATGAGAAAGGGCCTCAGGGATCTGAGCAATGCTGTTGCTGTCATCAAACTGAAAATAACCTCTGACAAAAGCCTGGCATTTTGTTCCCTGATGTCCACTCGTGAGTAGGTGGACAACAATGCAGCCCCTCGGGTTACACCTGGAGAGCGTTCCCAGCCGCAGTCCCCGAGAGCAGGGGTGAAGATTGGAGTGTTACAGTTGTGACTGCATTGCTTGAAACTGAATCCTAAAGTAACAGTTCCTGGAAAGAGGGTTTACTCACAAATGGTCACATTGCCAAAAGTGCTTTACCAAACTAATTCATTAAAAAAAATAATCCAAAACCTGTTTGTAGGAACCTCTGGAACTCGGCAGTTTGGAACCAAGTAGAATTTCATTCAGCAGTTCATGGTGCGATAGATATAACTGGTTTGTCTTTGGAACTGGGTTTTTTGCTCTGGTTTTCAAGTTTTCGCTGGTTTTAGGCATTAGGCTGGCTGGTTTTACGCGTAAGGTCTAGCACGTCTCATCATGGCAGCTGTGTTGGCTACGCCGCACGGAGCGCCTTGGAAATGCTGCAGGCGTGCCGGAAGCGTGGAGACCAAAGAATGAAGCACTTAAAGCTCACTTTTTACAGGGTTTTAAGTGCTTTACAGATTTAGAAGCTAACTCTCATTTTCTAAAGGGATGGCTGAATCGAGAAACTTGGTTGGGTATCCCGGACTTGGCCGTGCGTGAGAGGGCCGACCCCTTACAGCCGTGGGGTTGCAGACTACAGGTCTGAGGCTGACAGCCTCAACGGTGGGACTTTAGTGGAAACCTAAGGAAATCAGATGCCAAATCCATGCCAGACTTCAGGATTTTGGGGGTCTGTTCACTGAGGCTGCTTTGAAATCTCTTAGGATCCTGTAGTTCCATTGACCGTTGAGACTAGGGAAGGTTTTTGTCTTTGATGTAAAGTTGGAGGACTAATTTTTCCTGAGCAGGAGAGCTGGATTCCATCTCGTTCATTCTCTCTGGAGAGTTAAGGGCACTCCTCTGCCTGTGTCACGTAAGGCTAAATACAGAGGTGACGGCGCAGTGCAGGCGGTACGAGATGTTAGTTGTCAGAGGGCAGCAAGGAGGGGTGGGGCGAGACTGAGCTCGCTGTTGGAGTACAGGAGAAGTGCCAAGCAGCTTAGGACCGCTTTGTTTGCACCCCCGGCGGTGCCTAGATTAGGACCCTTGACTTGGGAGAGAACTCGAGCTTCCATAATCTTCACCCATGTCATCAGCTGCGCCCGGTAGATCATGTCCTTGGATGGATTTGCACCGTAACCAACCACAGGGAAATCTGGGAATAAACACCTCTTTCCCAAATTTTCAGTATTTTCCCTTTGAATTTGTTAGAGAATTTAAGGCGAAAAGGTAGGGAACAACCTTTAAGTTTCCTGGTATTGGGTGTTGCCTCATTGCTGTGCTTCTGTGCTGCCCTAGACACTGTGTGCCCTGTAGGGAAGCGAGCCTTGCTGAGAGGCTCTTCACAGCTCAGGGGAGCAGTCGGATCCATAGGAGTTAGTGGCCATTCCGTGTAATCCCTGGTCCGCCATGGCTAACGGGAGCCGAGGCTGGAAGAACAGCCTTGAAGCGGGCAACTGGAGCGTGCGCACGCCTGCTGTGTTGTGTTCCTGGTGGAGCGGGAATGCGGTGTTTGCTCTAAATCAGAGGTAGGGCTTACGGAACGCCGCTCGGAGAACGGGAGCACGGCGTATCGGAAGCACAGTGAGCCTGGGGACCGGAGCGCGGCAGGCGGGCACGTCGGGTCCTCGGGTCACATACAAGGGTGGGTGAGGCAGGAGGAAGGCGGGTTTTGGAGCAGCAAAGCGGTACCTTTTCAGCCTGAAAAACAAACCAGGGAGTCGAGTGGTAGGTGTTCCAAAACCTGCGCCACGAAGCCAGCGATTGGACGCTGGTAGGAGCCAGGAGACAGTCAGAGCAAGACAGGATGTGTGCTCAGCTCTTCGGCACGGAGCAGGTTGGGAGAAGACCGTTTACGCCGAGCCTGAGTAGCGTAGCTTCTTACTCTGCGTTGTCCACAGACGAAGGGTTTGTAGTTTGCTTCCGCTGGGTAGCACAAGTTTCGACAAGCCTTTGCCTTCACACTTCTAGAATTAAATGTGCAAGGATGACCCGTTGATTACAGAATCGTAGAGTTGTTATTGGTTGGGAGAAGGAAAACCCCCTAGTCCCTGCTGCAGTGAGATTCCCCCCCCCTTTTTCCAGCTTTCATCCTTCTCTCCCCTTCATATAGGGGTAGCTCCATAGTGACCCTGTTGTGTCAGGTGTATTTTGTATCGTAAACCAGTTTTGCAGCATTAAAAATCCAGTTGTTTTCTCCGTATTAGCTGTTTTAACGATCTGGTTTTTACACAGTCCGGGCCTGGAGCTAGGGCTTTGCTAGCCCTTCTCCTGCCCTCACGGGGACAGCCAGGCGCCGTGTACCTGGGAAGGCAGATACACGGTGTTCTCCTTTTTTCTGTTGGTTACTCCCTCTCATCTGAGCGCGAGCCGTGTGAGGAGGCCTCATCTTCCTTCCTTCGGCCTGGAAGCGATGCTGCTGTACCCGTTGAAATCCCGTGGGTTTAACAGCGCCCGTTGGGTATGAAATTGCAGCCGGGGAGAAACACTGCTTGGGAGCTGCTGCTGATCTGAGCTAGAAGGCAGAAACGAAGAGAACAGCCTGGCTGGCGTGTCCAAGGGACACGGGGCTCCCTCCTGCCAGCAGCCAAACCTCATAACTCTATTTTCCTCTGTTCTTTTTAGATGTCATCTCTGCTGACAAGAGGGCAGAAGTCAGGTCGAGTTGGTGGAACCCTGTTCTGGTGAAGCACCATTTCCCCTTTCTCCAGAAGCCACCCAGCCCCCTCTGACAAAGCCAGGGAGTGTACAGGGTGTTACTTCCCTCAGGCAATTTAACTTGATCAGACAAAGAAAGTCAAAATTTGAGTTTGATGTAAGTTTAATCTGAACAAATTGATTTAAAAATACAGTATAAATAATTCTTAACTTATATAAAAATTGATTAAGAATTCCTTTTTTTGTTGGTTTGGGGTTTTTTTTACTCGCTTTACAAAAGAGCATTATTGAACATACGAGCAAGACATTTTAACTGCGGTCTTTTTGTTAAAACATAAAGTATGTACACACTCACAGTACTTTTTCTTGTGCAAAATACGTACTGACTGACAGACTGTACCTTTCTGTACAAAGACAATTTCAGCTCACTTTGCATAGCAGAAAAGCAACAAAAAAAAAAAAAAAACCAAAACCCCACCAAAAACCACCTAGATACATAACTTTGTTGCTATAATACTCCAGGTAAGCCTTTTGGAAAAATAATTAGACATTAGATTTCTCATTAAGAGCCAGTTTGAATTCTGAAGCATTAATTGAGGCTGTTCCAGTACTGACGTCTTGCCAATCCGTGTCCGAGGCGCAGCGGCCGTCAGCAATCCGAGAGGTGTGCGGTGCGGTAGCAGGAGTGACGCCTGCGAACACATTCAGCAACCAGCATCTCAGGATTGGTCTTCTGACACTTCAAGTTTTCGTTGAGGAATATACGGCGTTCCTTGAGAGGTTCTAATAGCACCATTTGAAGTTGTGGCCGGTGACGGTTCCGTGTTGGGCCCTCCTGGCGTGCGGAAAAAATTTTCCATAACTGTCCGGGGCTCTTGGGGTTCCTTTGGGACAGGACGCTGAGAAGAGAGAAGGTTGTTTTCAGTTGAGGGGAAGAAAAAAAACCCAAAGTGAATTCTAGTTTTAGGTTTCTACAGGATGTTACCAAACTAGGGCATTTCTTCCTGGAAATCAAAACACTTAGCAAACCTTTACTGAGAACCATAGATCTCCATGCCTTGATACAGCTATAAATGTATATATACAAAATTAATGAAATGGAAATCTGGGTTCTCTAATGCCCTCCTATCTCCTTTTTTACGGCAAGCAGATCTCGGGCGACACAGTATTACCTGAGAAACTTCCTGTGGAAAAACCCAGCCTTTTAGTCCCCTACCAGCCCATCCTAGTAAAAAAAAGCTAACATCAAACGCCAAGAACTTCAGAGTAGGAGAGTAATGAGAAGGAAAGACAACGTAACCATGGACAATCTGGTATTAAGTGTCTTCTCAGCTCTATGCACAACCCCTGTCCCTTCACTTCTTGTCACCTCCCGGCCAGCCCCACCGCCAGGACAAAGGAGAGACCCGTTCCTCCTTCCTTCCCTGGCCGTTAAGGGTACTTCCGTTGTCCCTCACGGCCAGCTCTTGGTGGGCAGTGCTGAGCTGCGAGGGTAGAAAACCCATTTACACATTCCCCTGCTGTAAAGGAACGATAGTTCCCGCTCAGCCCATCACCGGCAAGAAGCTGCAACGTATTTTTTACGTACCTTCTCTTCTTGCGAGTTCACGCCGTCTGAGCCGTGGCTAACGTCGTCTGGCTGGGAAGAGACTGGCACGTGCTGAAGAAGAGGATTTGCAGGAACTTGCATTCCAGCAGGTATTAGTCCTATGTGCTGCAGCGTGAAGTTCAGAACTGAAGAACTTGGACTTTGGGCAGAACTGGTGTTGCTTGAATTGAGGCAGGAGTTGCTCAGTACAGGCGCGGCAGCGATAGAAGTTGGCGAGAGCATTATGTTCAGGGGCGTGATGTGGAAAGAAAAAAAACTGCTTGCAGTTCAGATGCTGTCACTGGAATGACACCTGAAACAGAAAAATGGAGACCTAGGCCGTCGCGCTGTGATTTCGCTACCGCGGCAGGATGAATCCAGCCCGCCAGCCTTCAAAGGCCGACAGCCGCATGCCTGTTTTATTGAATACTCACCAGCGACGGGTGAGTGGTAGGTAGTGTGCTGCAGGGAACAGATCCTGGCTTTCTCCGTATTAGACAGGGCTGCCTCATTGCCATGGGTGCACTGAGCGAGAGGAATAAGGTAACCAGAGGGAAAAAAGGTCTGAAAAAGAAAGAGACAAGGCACCTTTACCCCAGACACGCAATCGACATACAATGAGGGTTTTCTCCAAAGTTGCATCCCCCTTGCCATGTTTTTATTCTTCATCCTCCGTATCCCCAGGATCTCACATTCCCTGTGCTCCCTCCTGTCTGAGAGCAGACACAACTGACTCAAGGACATCCTCTTTAAAATACGAGTGTCCCGCTCTGGGGAAGTCAGATGGCTCTGTTTCCAGCTGACATGCTCGGTGAGGAACTGGAAATCCATCTGGGATTAACACAGTACAGATAGGCTAGACAAAAGAGAAATCCTGATGCTGACTACTTTTTTTTATTTTCCCTCCAGAATAAACAGCTGGGCCCCATAATCATCATCTCATCTCATTCTTGGATTGTGTTTTTCGTAAGGCAAATACTGGAAGAGGATTCTTATGGCATTTTAAGTTCTGTTTTTGTCAACAAAACTGTTTTTTATTCACATTCTCTACAGTCTTAACTGCAGAACACCAAATGTTACTGATGACGAGTGTTTCACCTGATTCTGTCGTAAATCAAAGTATTTGAGACAAACAGACACAAACCAAGGACTGGGGATACAAGGGACCTCAGCGGTGCCTTCACCTACTTGATCTTAGTTGTGATCTTTGTCCTGATCAAAGCCTGAAAGTCACTTCATGTCCTCTTATTCATGCACTTAATGCAGAAAGGGAAGTCCTACATTCCTCCAAAATAAGGTTTTAAAAACACACCAAAAATAATGCAGCCAAAGACAACCTCTACGTGTGTAGTTCGTTGTAGTTTTGTTTCTTCTGATGCCCGGTGGCCTTTTCCCAGCAGGATGAGCGGGGGTGTCCAACAAAGCTTACCTCGTGAGAAGGAATGGCAAATGCCACAGGTATGTCTTGTTTAGTTTGGGTTTGGTCCTCCTCTTTGGGAGTATCTTCTCTTTTACACTGGTCATCGCAACTTGCCGTGTTCTGAGCTAACAGTTTGGTTGGGTTTTGTTCCTGGGAATTGTCCGTTTCGTGATTCGTTTGTGAGCTAGTGGAAGGTGGCCTTTCACTTTTAGTGGGTTCTCCCTTTAAAAAAAAAAAAGTACGTACAAAAGGCAGACACTGTAAGGCTTAACATTCTCAATTACGGGTCTACAGTGATACCTATACATATAAAAAATTTGGAAAGCAAGCTTTTATCCTTTCTCCTGATCCCCGAGTTTGTGCTATAGCGTTTTCTAGTCGGTAAGACGAGGTCTATGTTACCCCCCACCTGCTGCTCCACAGCCAGTGGGTGTTTGACACCACCGGTTGTCACAACACGCTGAGAGCTTGTCAAGGACAGCTTAGAGCAGCCTAATAATTTGCAGAGGCACCAAAACATTCAGCAACTGAGGAACAGAAAGCAACCCAGACCCGGTTTCTCCACATGCATCAAGGGGAGCTGAACCTCTTACTCTCTTCATGTGCTGTGTTACTATGCCTGAGCCACCCAGCGTTCACAGTGTCCGACACTGGATAGGTGGAAGGCATCAGGATTTTGAGACATTCCCTGTCCAGCACCTTTTATGTGTCCACTTTCCCTCCTAGCACCTCGAAAGCCAAGGATGAATGCCAGCAACAGGAGCAACCTGACCTACTCCAGAATCGTTGCAGAAATAGGTAAGTCTTGAAATAATGTTTGGGGAGTTGTTTTATTTTGACTAACACCTGTACACCCTGGCACATCTTCTTGAAAATAAATAGTTAGAGGGGGAAGAGAGGGGAACAAGGGGAAGAATGCAGATCCTAGGTTGGATTCTTAAAGATGTGTTACACTGCATACTGTATATTCTGATGCTCTGCAGATACCAGCAAGATTATGTGAT